CTATTCTATTCTATTCTATTCTATTCTATTCTATTCTATTCTATTCTCTGGAAATTACCCTTTCCATATTGAATTATGTCCCTGTAGTTTCCAGAGTTGATTTGTCTAATGGGCTTTAGATGAGCAGTCTTCACTGGTTGTAACTTCAGCTGGGGGTGAAAGGAGACTGGTCAGCATCTGACAGAAGAAAAATGTTTCCATGGTATTCCCAGTCTAGGATCATTCCAGATCCTAAAGTTATCAGATTTATATATCTGGAGGCACTCAGTTTAGGAAGGTTGCCCCATAGCAACTTCTGCATGGAATATCTTATGGCTAGTCTAGAGAAAAGAAGAACTAGGGGGGATACAATAGAAGTATTCATATTTGAGAGGCTGCCACTCTCTTGGTTTATTGTCTGTATATTCCTATTAATTATTAAAACATCAGCCAGTTTCTTTTGTGTATCCAGTACATGTTTTTCAATATTATTCTGGTAGCCTATAATTTGTATATCCACTTTCAACTCAGCCTCCATCTAGGTAAAAGTTAGGTAAGACTTGTTCCTTTTCCATAATGTATTTTAGGCAGTTTCCCCATAGAGATACTGCAGATATCTCTTTTGATACTATTAACCTCTGGGTCCATTTTTTTTTAAAAAAAACCCTTTAATATGTCCAATGTTAGAATATCTTGTTTCATTCTGTAAGCATAAATCCAGTTTATGTTTGTGTCTCCTTTGTGATTTTTAGTTACATTTTATTTGAAACCTATCTGGATCCCTTAGTCTGTCTGCAACTTTCTAAGATCAAAAACTTAATCACCCTTTTGCTGTTTATTAAAAAAAATAAGTCCTTAAATTTGTAATTAAAATATTATTTCGCTAAAGATTGAAGGAAACTCACCTGGTGGTGTGAAGCCTGTCAATCCAAAGGTTTCTAATAGCTGCAAAGCAGTTAATACCTAATTTCCAAAAGTGATTAGAAAAAGAAGTTTGCAAAGTTAGTGTTGATTGAAAGATTCTGACTGCAGTTTGAGGAAGACTATTCCCTTGCCTTCCAGCATTAAACCTTCCAGAGAGTGCTATCTTATGGTTTCAACATGAGAAAAAGCTGCCTGGAGTATGTGTGGGTAATCTCGAGTCCTGTCCTTGTCTAAAGAGGTGTTGAAGAGCCGCTCTACTCACCACTGTTCATTCTGCACTTCTTGCACTGCAGTATCTACTCTACTTCATTCTATATATTCTTTTGAAAGCCAAGCTCACGTTAAAATAGTAACTACATTAAATCCTTTCTCTATTCCCAGTCAGAACTAACTTTCTCCATTTGTTTCAATGCCTTTATACAAAGAATGGCTACATCCAGAACTAACCAAGTATGATGTACAAGTAATCCTCAGTTAATGACCATAATTGGGACCAGGAACTCTATCACTAAGCAATACAGTCATAAGTTAACATTCACATGACTGCACCAATTTACATCAGAAGTTCCAGTTGTATCTGTAAGCAAATTATTAATGATGAACAAGTGTCACTAAGTAAGGACTATCTGTATTGCATTAAGTACTCAACGTTAAATAACTGCAAATTGTTAAATTAAGGGCATGCAGACAGCATTATTGCCATAGGCTTTGAAGTCTGTGAAATCTGAGAACTTCCAAATGTTGCTGAACAACAATTTTATCTCCCTGAATCAGCAAAGTCAAAGGTGAAAGAAGATGAAAACAGCAATACTGTAATACCAAGTTCTTCTTATCTCTCTTAGAAGGAGCTTCATGATTTTTGATTCGCAGTACGCTTAATTTTTCTTTGTTTTTGTCTCTGATCATCTTTGTTTTATATTGACACCTAGTGGAAGGAATTTTCATTGCCAAAAGCTAACAAATTCCCAAAATACAATCCTGTATTCGTATTTAATTTACTATTGTAGTTCTTTTCTCGATACATATTTACATTTGTTTTCTTCCCATATGAAAACACTGCAGAAGGTGATTTCTCTGTTCTTGCTGTTTGTCATAATTAAAACACTACTAATATATAAATATTAGAATCTATCTCAGGGCAGTAGCTCTTTTGAATTCTGCTGTATAGTGCAGTGTTGGTGTGATGTCGGGGGTTTCCGGTTCAATGTGTGAAGGGTGAAGGATGTGTGTTTGTGTTTATTTTCATGGTCGTGGTCATGATGTGCACTGAAGATGGTGTTTGATTTCGTTGTATGAGGTACAATAAAGCAAAGTAAACTAAATAAAGGAGCATACTGCTGTTCTAAGGCACGGGTGTCAAACTTGCAGACATGTGACTTTTCATGACATTTTTTCTATTTGTGGAACTGGGGTGAGCGTGGCCTGCACGTGATGCATCTAGCCCATAGGCCGCCATTTTGACAGCACTGCTCTAAGATACTGTCTGTTCTAAGATGTACATCTTTCTGAGAACCAACAAATGGTTTGCTCAAATGACGTTCATTAGCTTGACAAAAAAACAGCAACCCAGAATTGTAAGTCTTCTAGTCCAACCTCCTGCTCAAGCAAAAAACCCTTTACCATTTTGGAGAAATGATTGTCCAATCTCTACTAAAAATCCTCCAGTGATGAACCACCCACAACCTCTGGAGTTAATCTTCTACTGATTTATTGTTCTTATTGTTGGGAATTTTCTTCTTAGTTCTAAGTTGGATCTCTCCTTAATACGTTTCCATCTTTTACTTCTTATCCTGTCTTCAAGTCCATTGGAGAATATGTTGACCTGCAGTTCTTTGAGAGCCCTTTAGATATTGGAAGATTGTTATCGTGTCACCCCTAGTCCTTCTTTCCACCAGACTAGACAAATCCAATTCCTGCAGCCAATCTTCACGTGTTTTAGCCTCCAGCCCTAATAATCTTTGATGCTCTTTTCTGTATACTTTCTATAGCCTCAACATATTTTTTATAACGTGATGACCAATGCAATATTCTAAGTGTGGTCTTACCAAAGCGGTATAAAGCAGTACTAACAGTTCATGCGAACTTGATTCTGTCCCTCTGTTTATGCAGCCTAGGACTAAATTAGCTTTTTGGGCAACTGCTCTTATTTTTTGACTTTTCAAAATTCTTATCTTTTAAAACTAGGAACAGCCAGGAAGTCTGTGGAATAAACGAAACAACCAAAGTTTGCTTATTTGTCTACGCAATTCAAGTAATACCAATTACTAAAACTTAATAATTAAAATTTAAAATTAAGCTTCTCAAATCACCTTGGCCGTCTGACAACACCAAAGCAAAATTTATAAGTTATCAATAGGGGATTCTTTCCTAAATTGTATTTCAACAGTCATGTTGAAAAGAAAAGTATTTTCCTAAATGTGGTATATATTTACACAAATAACGCCCCGCCACCCATTTACTGAGGAAGCCAGAATTTTCTGAATCCAGGATTCCAGAGACATATATTGTCCAAGCAGTTATAAGAGTTGAATGGTTAACAGACCTCAGTAAATGGCTTTCATCATCATTGTGCAGTCTTGCATAGCTACATTTGCAGGTACTAAAGTTTCAGACCAGGCAAACAAGGGTATTTAATTCCAACCAGTATTTTATTTCATAACACATGAAGAAGCGCAAATTGCAAACATGCAATTTTGCTCCACCCCTTCAACACCATTTTATATCCTTAACTTAGAGAAGCTTATTATTCAGAGGAGGCATTACTATACAAAAGAATGAGTTCAACACTAGTGGGTTAAAAAGATATTTGGAAGCAAGCAGAGAAATAAGCAGCTGGTGGTAGCATTACAAAATAGCCCAAAGGGCTATTACATCTCTACCATGTTCTATAAATTTCAGGCGCCTTTTATTATCACTTTCCCTAAGATAAGGACTTAAGGGTAAGATATAAAAGTTGAAACTAAGCCTAAATTTTATTCAACGTTTAGAATCTATCCTAATAGTTCCAAATAAATATAGAAAAATGGGGAAAAGCATATGGACAAAATGCCCCTATTTGGCAGTTGAATTCCTCTTTCCACAAAAGAACAGCAAGGTAATTTAAAGCAAGCAAAAGACCTTAATTAGAGAAATTATATTGTTTCCATTTCTCCATCCCAACTTTACATTTTTTTTTAAAAAAACATGAAACTATATACATTATTCCTCCCTATGACAGTTTGATTGCTCCTTGCTGTCAGGGCTCCAACAAATCCACCCCCATTCAAATCAAAAGTCTCTAGCCACATCTCAGAGAAAAGGACATTGATTTACTAGAAGTGGCCATGTTGGCATTTAGCTGGGTGCAACCAATACTAAATTACACCATACATTTCCCCCTTGACCCTGGTCTTTCCCCCACCCTCTGGATGTGGCTTCTCCAATGGGATGCATCCATCTCCATCATGCTCTCCAATAACTTTCTTACGGCTCTGACAGGGCTGCCGGGGTGATTATCTAGGGCCTAGGCATTTAAAGAATGTAGTTTCCCCCCAGTCCCCTTTTCTGGCAGCTAAAAAGACCAAAGGAGTATCTTTTTAGTTGACCTTTTCTATTTGTGCCAAGATGCTTTTATTTTGCTGCAGCTGAAGGTCAACTGGATACTCTGCAGAAGAAGGACCATTTCTTCAATTGAACCAATCCTTAGCATTAGTTCTAATAGCTTTTAAAGCTTTCTTCTTATCTTGTTACGACAGTATAATCAGTGAAATAATTGTCTTGTTCACTCAGAATTCTGGTTTGACACCCCAAAGAAAACTGCTCTTTTAAAAAGCTTTTCCAGGTTTCCCTCATTTCCATTTATTTATCCGTTCTCATTAATAATTCCACCATTTCATTAATTTGTCATTTGAAGTAGAAAACCTTCACAATCAGCAATTAAGCAGCCAAATTAATCTACAAGGCCATTGAGAGGCTGCAGTGAAAGCCTTCCTCCTTTTATGTTTTAGGATGTTTGTTTGTGTATGTGTGTGCATTATTATCCCAAAGCAATTCATTGCAGAACGAAGGTCTCTTCATTAAAGGTTGTTGGTCACCATACCAGCCATTGTGCATTGGTGGATAAATGTTTTCAACTTCCTGAGTGAGCTGACAGTGACTAGCCCAAAGACACTGATCCAGTTTTTATATCTAAGGAAGCATTAAAATCTGGCTCTCCTCTGTCCAAGTCCAGCATTTTAACACTCTCTCCAAGTTATATTTTTAACATATCTCTTTAAGACGATCCATCCAGAGAAAAGAAAATGACTGGCCATTGTTTGTCTGATACAGAATGGTAGGCAGGCACAAGAGGAATTGTCCAATGGGAGGACATGATAACCTATAGTCCAGATTGAATACTTTGCAATTTGTTGACAAAGTATCTGAGTCTGAACAGAATTTTCTTAAACCACTTAACAGTCAAACCAGAAGAAGCACAAGAGTGGAGCAGCTTCAATGATAATGTAGCATATGCCCTTCATCTACAGTGTTTTAATTCTTTTTGGCAAGCCAATTTTAAATTACGTAAACATATTGTTATAAGGAGTGTACGTTTAAGTACAACTAACAGCAAACACAGCTATATATCACAGCAGGCTTAAAATCTGCCAAAAAAAAAAAAAATAGAGTTAGTCCTCAACTTAGAACTATTCCTTTAGGAACCATCTGAAGTTACAACCGTATTGGGGGGAAAAGTGGTTTATGGCTGATCCTTATGTTATAACCATAAGTTTCCCCAGTCATATGATTGTAATTTTGGAGCTGGAGAGCCAGCATTTATTTATCACAATCCCAGGATCCCAGGGTCATGGGATCAGCACTTGCAACCTTCCCAGTCAGCTTCTGGTAAGCAAAGTCAATGGGGGAAGCTGGATACATTTAACAATTGCTGCAAAAAAAGATCATCAAATTGGGTAATTTTATGACATCACTTTAGCAACATAAGTTCCAGTCCCAATTATGGTCGTAAATTGAGGCCTACCTGTATTGTACAGTGCTGTTCATTCTCAGAATCCATATTCTTGAAGCTGGAGCACAAAAACATTTTATCTAAAAATAATTCTGATCTTTGGCAAATTTTACAAACCAATCGCTTTAGCAGCTGTTGTTTTAAAAATCCCATGACTTCTTAAACGTGAACGAATGATTGACCTTTCATGAACTATTCAGACATTCCCTATACTAAACTATGTGTACATGTTCAGTTAATATTACATACATGCATATCAAACTTTATATATTCACAGTAATTTGTCTAATAATATGTACAATTATGCAGCAGATTGGTTCAGCTGAATACTCTGCCATCTAAGTGTCTTGAAACCTAGATTGATTCCTGAATTATACATTTTAGGTCGTAGTTAGTTCTCTAGCTATTCACTTCATCCCATCAGAATTGTCTACAATTTAATTTTCATTTTCAGGTTTCCTTTTAGGCATTTTCTGTAAATTAAATCTTTAAAGTGGCCTGCTTTAGACTGATGGGAAAGTATAGCTCTCCAAATGGTAAGAAATCATTGTACTTCCTGAACATCTGGGTAACTACACATTATCTATCCCAATCAGCTTTTAAATCTTTTTTCTCTTATAGAAGTATTCTAATCTACCTTTTATAACAGCATAAGTCATTGTATCTGATCCCTTTTGAAATTCTTCATTAAATAGCAATCAGAATAAAATACAGGAAAGAAAATCAGCCCTTCTGTCATGTTCCTCATTTCTGAGTTGGCTTTTACCCTACAATCAATAGCAGTGAGTTACATAACTTGGAAAGAAAGAACATCATACATTATGAAAAATATGCTGAAGAGTCCCATGCAAACATCAATATATGATATAAGGCAAATTTCCTCAGGAAGTCCCAGTGTTTGTAGTTTTATTTCCTATTCTCATAGTGTAAGGTGCTTTGAAATATGTTCACTTGAATACAATTCAATCTTACTACTGAATCTTTTATCCCCGTCGGTCCAAAACCCATTCAAAAAAATCTTGCTACTACTACATACCATTGTAGTAAATCTTGCTACAACTGCAGACCAGTTTCAGGGTCCTCATTCAAGGACTATAACTGAAGTCAGTTTTACAGTAACAAAATAATCACAATAAAGAGGGAAATAAAGATGTTAAGGCTTTGACCACCCTAACCTAGCATCCACTTGATGTGCTGGGATCACAACTTGTAGAATTTCCCAATCAACCATGCTGGCTAGAAGTTCTAGGAATTGCAGTCCCAGGACCTCTGGAGGGCACCAGATTGGCATTATGAGGCGCAACTGTATAGAGCACTTATGGGCAATCTCAAATCTCTCCTTGGCTGGAGAAGAATTATGAAGAGCTGGACTATTCGCCAGTTCATTCCTCTGTGGTTGTCAGTTCCATTTTTTGCCAAGCCATCTGCAGTTTGTCATTTCTTCTCCAGAAGTCCCACTTCCCTGCCTTCTATGTTATGTAAAACTTCCTTGTGACAAGTCTGAGTATTAATTGCTGTAGTCACGACTTTCCAGAATGATGTTCAGAATATGTTTTAGTTGGGTGAGGCGTGCCTTCAAGGACGTTTCAGAAAAAATGGTCAACTTGTGGGTCAAGTCAAGGGGCAAGACAGATATAAGCCACCAACACCAAACTGGTCCATCTGGCGATGCCTAATGAAAAGATAATAGAAAATATATCAATGCGTTTTGCATAATAAATAAATTAGGACCCTACTAGAGCTACTTGAGTGGATCCATCTTGAGGACATCAAGATTCATCATTGAAGTGTGACAGGAAATTTCCTTTATCAGCTGCAGACTTAATTCTTGCACTGTCTACTGAGCATGTGATCTTTTCAATATAATAGAAATCATTTTTTTAAACTCCTACAAGAAAGACTAAGGAGTAGGAAGAGAACAATGCCCCAAATGTTACATTGATAGATGTTATGTGACAGTATATATTTAATGATGCAAGGTAAATTAAGTACCAAAGCAACCACCGTACTGGTGCATTTATATCAGCTGCATTCATAAACCATGCTTAATTGGGTTAGTTCAAAATCCAGTGTTTGGATTCACAACATGATAAGTTTGGTTTGTTTTTTTTAACAAACTGCTTGAGCAAATCCAGTCTGTTTGCCTGATTTGTGGCTTAATCCATTTTGTGAACCCAGAAAATGGATTCTGTCTTTGATCTTTCATGCTGATCATAGAAATATGTCTATGGGAGTGCCTCATTTCCCCTCATTATCATGAGACAGGTCACTGTGATCCTAAGATCAAGAACTTATTTAAGGCCACTGGAGCTGTTAGGATGATCCGGCCCCAAAAGCTATTGAATCCAGTTATATATGCAACTGAAGAGGCTATTTTTGCCTGCACAACCCTAACCTATTATTGCTTTGGCTGTATGAGACCCCCTGGCACCTTCTCTCAAAGCTTGATTACAGGATTCTGGAGCTCACTGTGATTGTTTTACTGGGTTTTTTAAAGCTGGTCAAAATCTTGCATAGTTTGAGGTACTCTTGATGACACCACAAATGCAGAATTAGTGCTGCTTGATAGCTTCTTTTTGGGATGCATTTCAACTCATAGCACAGGACATGAAGAGACTTGCTGGAGTAGTTTGGTGTAAAGGTTAAGGTGCTGGACTGGAAACCTGAATGCCACCAATTCTAGCCCTTCCTTAGGCATGGGAACTGGTAACTCTGGGACAGTCATTCTCTCTCAACCCAGACATTCCACAAGATTGTTATAGGGAAAACAGGAAGGAACATTATCTATTCTACCATGATTTGCACAAAATAAAGATATATCTACCACCTTGCCCTTGAATCCTTGCTCAAATTGTTTTGTAGCTTATAGCCAGGAATTATTAGATCATTGTAAATGTCTGCCAGGAGGAGAAGGCAGCAATGATTAGACTACTTGTATCTTTTGGCAATTACCAATTATAGGTTAATCTCTAATGGGACTGAGAAAATGAGCAGCCCTAAAAAAGCAGATTAATGCTGATTTATTAGCCTACTAGTTAAGCAGCTTCTTTAGATAGACATGTGATACTATTGGTTCTTCTTGATCTTCCAGATAAACCAGTTAGGTAACACAAATAGACAAACTAATTCTACTTTAAGTCTTATAAGAGATTCTTGCATGTCTAAAAGTACAAACTTCCTGCCAACACTTTTAACTGCTTAACCATTGGAAACAGTCCTTTCTAAGTTTCTTTCTCCTGATAGTTAAGTCACTGGGGGCTTCTGCCTCTCTTGTTTGATTGCTTCCTAGCAAGCATCTCTTTATCTCTTTCCTCGAGGTCATATACATGTTCCATTATACCCAGGAACTTTCAATACATTGATCAATTTTAGATTGCCTAGGAAAGCTGGGAATAAAAAGCACTGTTTGACATGGGATTTCATCACGTTGATCTCAAGTGGTCCCTTGAAGATGCTTGAATTGCTCCTAGAAATGGAGTTATTACATGTGCTCTATTCTGTCTTTTTTTCAGCATCTACATGAAATTATGACCAAGTATGGAGTTGAGTTCTCTCCATGTTTTCTGAGATCTAAATCTATTTCTTTAAAGCTAAAGAGACTGAGGGTCAAATAATATTTGAAGATGCTCAATGTAAATGGTCACAGTTTCAGAGAGGTGGAAGACAGTTCCATTCAGAAGTGTCCTGGGTGGAATCATATTCTAAATGAGAATATACATGAGAATACTGCTGAATTCAAACTCGTTCTCTGTTTTCCTAAAATGAAGCCATGATTCAAAGTATCTTTTATCAGCTTGGTACATCAACTCCATCATTTCCTAGAAGAAAATGACTATGCAACTATGATACACATTGTAATAGCCTTCAAGTTTGATTTTTATAATATTTATTATAGTCGATGGGCTGCCTTTGTGTCTAGTTTTGAAAAAAAATACAAAATTCAACACGTAGGCTGGTCTTTTGCAGAATCTGAGGTCATATTATACTTAGCCAACACATTTCAATGGCTCTCATTCTGAGTGTTGAATTTTAATAGCCTAAATCCAGGTTATTTAGGATCCCCATGGTAAAAGTCATTAGAGCAAATGTGATTATTGTTGCCATAAACAACAAGTGCCCAGAATGTTGGAATATTCCAATTATTTGTTAAAACCCTAATTGCTTTGCAAAAATTTTTTAGAAAAAAGATCCTAAGCAAGCTTTTTAAAATAGCCCTTAACAATTTGATCTAATTACAGCTTTGTTTTTTAAATAATACTGGTTTAAATCAGATTTTGATTTTATTTCTTATTTTAAAGACTGAGATTTTGGAAAACAATAACCATAGTTAAGGAATAATGAACTGAAACAATCAAGCACTGGGGATACCATAGATGCCTTAGAAGGAACATTTTTAAGAGGTGAAATGGCAAGTAATTAGAAATGAAAAGGAGTTAAGATTTGATTCAGTTTTTCACAGACAGGAAATTAAATGCTTGAGTAAAACGTATTTCTAGGCAGGAATGATTTACATGATTTGCCGTTACTTTCTTCTAGAATTTTTCAACTTCTCAATCCAGTTGTAGCCCTGGAATTTTATAGAGTCACATAGTTTGAAGGAGAGGTCATCTCATCTAAAAACATTTCCCCGTGTAAAGCTTGTCTCATAGATGATCATCTAGATTCTAGCCTCTTTATAGACTTCTAATGAAGAAGGATTCAAACTTTCATATGGCAGTCAACATATTTACAATTGTTCTAGCCTACAACTGTTGTTCTGCTCCTCTCCCCTGTGGTAAATATGTCTACCCCCTAAGGACAAGCCAGGAACAACACTGCTTATCATTTTTGAAGGTCAGCTAAATACTGCCATTTTCATCAAGGTTACTTGGGTGATGACTGAAGTTAAGAAGCTTTCACCATGGCACTTCTGCGTAAGATACTGGATAAAACATGGCCGAGGTTAATTTTGTTATTTTTGGGGGTCAAACTCAAGTCTGTTCTCCAGTTGTCCAGGCATTTTGCTCCACATTATAAGTTGCTTTAATTTAACCTTATGGCTCTATGGATGTTGCCAGTTTTATGGCCATCCATTCTGTGTGCCTCATTTCTTTTTATGGGTTATTAATTTAATATTCTTCAGTGTATGCCATTCTAAGAATTTTATAGCAATGACAATTCCTTAAATTATTCATGCAACTAATAAATGATATGGTGTAATATTAATACAGCCTACTAATATTTTAAATTAATATCGCTAATGTAATAGTAACAATACTGAAATATTTAGAATAGTCACCATGGCAAAATTGTACAAACTAGGATATCCTTTCTAGTCTTTAAAACAGAACCCAAACTTCCTATTTTAAAAAGCCCCAAGACACAATCTTTTAGAGCTGTTAAGTCTCACTTGTTAGAGGAGAAAGGTTTGCAGATTGCAGCAACTGAAGATCATAATTCTTATAATTAATTTATTTAGACAAAAAAGTGAGATTAATAGTTTAATTAATTCTAAACTAAATTTACTTTGCCACTGAACTTTGTTTATTACTACACTCCTGGAAAACTATGATTTTCAGGTACAAAATTCTCTTAAGGCCATCTAACTGCTTGTAGAAAGAAAAACATATAGGGATAGTTATGATAATGCAGTATCTCTAATATTATTTACTTGGGAAGGCTGCATTTCTAAGATATGGATGGTTTGAGCCTTATAGTAACCTAATACCATGGACTTCATTTAAAGGGCATTACCTAATCAAATAGCTAAAATTACATTTTAAAAATTATATGAATGTACAAAATGCAAAATTTTAAACTGCTAACTTATTTTGTTAAAGCTGCTGCAAGTTCTTATCTGCCTTTGGCTGATCTTGAAAAAATATGTAATGATAGACCTGCATAGTACTGGATACTACTGGAAATCCCAGGGCAATAGGCAAATCTAACAAATCAACACACATCCTAAAAGATAATAGAAAATGACTTCCATTCCTTCCAGGAAAACTTCATGGATTCCATAGGTCCATGTAAACATCGGATGTTGAGTTTGATTCCAGGGAATTGTTGTTTTAACAATTGCTGTTTCAACTTATAATGTACAAAATGCATTTATATACATGAACCTAAATCTGAAATTCAAGGCAATCTAGTTCCTGGAAAATAATTTAAAAATGGCTTCTATGTTATCTACTACGAAATGTAGGATTAAGATCCTGGAAAAGACAAATGAATGACAAGTTTCGATTGGCTGCATAGCATTTATTTATCTGTTATGATATGGTTATTCTCAGGGATGGGATGTAACTGGTATAACTACCGGTTCTGTCTATTAGAGTCATGCACGTATGCGCGAGTCACGTGAGTCGCACAAGTGCAATTTACAACCTGCTGAGCTGCCCAGACAGCTGAACAGCACTGCGTGCAAGTGTGCAGCGGTTGGAAAAGCCCTTTTTTCCTGCTTTTTCAACTGTAGCTATGTCACGCAAAGCAGCTGCGGTTGAAAAAGCAGGAAATAAAAGTCAGGTAAGAGCCCGGGCAGGTGTGTGGGCCACAACAGCAGCAGACACAGAACCGGTTCTATGTCTGCTGCTCTTCGGAGCAACCAGTTCTACAGAGGTGGACAGAACCAGTAGAATCCCACCCCTGCTTATTCTTTTTTTTAAAACTTAAGAGTGTGAACACAAGATTATTTTTAAAAACCTTGTGTGTGCCATAGAAAGCCACCAAATATGACATATGTATCTAAGAAACAGTCAATCCATTTGACTACTAGTCAACACCAATTTGACGGCACATAATCAACAAATGGTCAACAAGGCTGTGGACACCTAATTTATCTAATGTACCACAATAGGCTATCAGAATATAGAATCCATGCCAGGACTAGATAATTAATAAATTGTTTATTCTCCTCCAAATTAGAATGGAATCTGAGTATTTTTATTGTTATTCTATATGACAGTCATATATCCCTTTTATCAGATCTTATTCCCCTGCAGATTACTTTATATTCCGGGTGAGAACAAGTCTCAATACCTGTATGTCTTCCTCTTTTTCCGGAAGTGGTCCATGATGCATCACAAGCTGTCGGAAAGTCCTGCCCCCATGTTCATAAAATCTCTGGGTTAGCTCATAGGTACAATCATGCAAATTCTGGAGCTCAGTCTGTTCTTCTCCTTCCATCTAGATCACAAGGTCAGAAGTTGAAAACAAGCAAAGGGAAGCACATTGAAAGTAAAAACGAAAGAATCTGAACAACAGTTGAGATCAAAAGAGAGCGTGAGAGAGAAAACATAACTGCTAAGTAGAACGCAGGTGTTGTTGCCATATAGTAGGGACTTGTAAAATATTGCATGCTTCAAAAGCCTGGTTTTGAGTGGTCTGTGCCAAAACTGAAACATGTGCTTGGATGTTTTGCTCTACACACAGAACTGGTTTGGCCTGGGAGAAAAGAGAAGGAAATGCTCTTGAGGAAACTCCTCGGCCTAGTGGGAAAGGAAGGTGCTGGGACAATAAGGACAGGTCAAATGTTGAGACCTTCTTCCCTACCACCGAGTTGTAAAATTGCAAAAAGGAAAGGTACAAGTCCTTTTTATTGGCAGGAGTGACAGCTGAGCAGACGGAATAGGATAGAAGGCAAATTATGAAGCAGGTAGGCTGGTGCACAGACCATTAAAAGGAGCAAGAGGAGGAGATACGGTAGAAAGATGCATTTCAATTACCAAGGCTTCTTTAAAGAAAAGAGAGTCTTCTTAAGGCAGACATGTGCTCATTTGAGAGCTGCCAGAAGAACAGTCTCGCTTACTAAAAGGAGCAAGGGGAATAGAAGCTATGCATTAGTACGTTATCAAAGAAAATTCCAGCTTGACAAGCAACTATTTTAACCAATGAATCAAAGAATTAATGCTGTATTTGGGTGGGGGTGCAGTGATTATCCTGGCTTTACTGCAATGTACTAAGAACAGGGAAGACATTTAAAAAGCGCTTTTCCTTCTAACAGTGGACAGCTGTTAACTCATAAATTGAAAGCGCAGACCCATAAATCAATATGATAGGTTTTTCTACTTGTTTTATACATTTATTGTACCAAAGTATCAATGAAAAAAAAAACAGCAGAGGGCTAAGTTGAATATTCTATCTCCAATCGTTACCATCTGTCCTATAAGATTCAAAAGAGTAGGCATGGTTCAAGTTATTATTTTGTAGCTCAGCTGTGTTAAATTTGTTCATTTTAATATGTGTTTACTGATTACCACTTTGAATGCCATCTTTTGGTGGAAAAGTGAAAGATAAACTCAGGAACACCTGTAAATTACACATAGTCCTCAACTTACAACATTTCACTTAGTGACCATTCGAAGTTACAACAGCACTGAAAAAAGTGACTTATGACCGTTTTTCACACTTACAACCGTTGCAGCATCTCCGTGGTCACATGATCAAAATTCAGATGCTTGGCAACTGACTCTATTTATGATGGTTGCAGTGTCCCAGGGTCATGTGATCACCTGTTGTGACCTTCCTGCAACCTAAGTCAATAGGAAAGGCAGGTTCACTTAACAACTGTGTGATTAACTTAAGAACTGCAGTGATTCACTTAACAACTGTGGCAAGAAAGGTCTAAAATGGGCAAAGCACATTTAACAACTGTCTTGATGAGCAACAAAAACTGGGGGCTCAATTGTGGTCATAAGTCAAGTATTACCTATATCAAGCGACACCCAGTGCATAATATTCCTTTTGTTTTAGCCAGATCTTTAGGACTTTATTCTTCACATAAGGACTACTCACCTTCTCGTCTTCCAAGTATTCAACATCTGCAGTGTGGTAGCCATCTCTGTGCCCTCGTCTCAAAACTCGAAACCTCCTCTTGCCGATAGTGTCCACCAATGATCGTCCATCAGGGAAAAATGCTATTTTCTGAATCTCCAGTATGCAGCCATAGTCAGCAAAGCTGAAAAGAGACAAGGCTTTTAATACAGGACAGAAGGAAGATTCATCTTTACAATTCTGCTTTTCCAATTCTGGTATGCTATGTAACCTGTGGGAAATGAAACAAACAAAATTTTTAAAAGTTACAAAATTTATCAATAGTATCAACAGTAGAGATCTTCAAATTTCTAGGTTCTATCATATCATAAAACCTAAAATGGACACCTAACATCAAAAATGTCATCAAAAAAGCACAACAAAGAATGTTCTTTCTGCGCCAACTCAGAAAGCTCAAACTGCCCAAGGAGCTGCTGATACAGTTCTACAGAGGAATTATTGAGTCTGTCATCTGCACCTATATAACTTGTTTGGTTCTGCAACCCAACAGGACAGACACAGACTTCAGAGGATAAATAGGACTGCAGAAAAAACAATTACTACCAACCTGCATTCAATCGAGGACCTGTATACTGCACGAGTCAGAAAAAGGGCTGTGAAAATATTTACAGACCCCTCACATCCCAGACATAAACTGTTTCAACTCCTACCCTCAAAATGATGTTATAGAGCACTGCACACCAGAACAACTAGAATCAAGGAGTTTTTTCCCGAATGCCATCCCTCTGCTAAACAAATAATTCCCTCAACACTGTCCAACTATTTAGAAAGTCTGCACTACTATTAATCTTCTCATCACTCCTAATCACCCATCCCCTTCCATTTGTGACTGTATGACTGTAACTTTGTCACTTGTATCCTTACTATTTATAATATATTGACTGTTTCCTAGTAAGATTTGATTGCTTATTGTACCCTATGACTATTATTAAGTGTTGTACCTTATGATTCTTGACTCTTGATGGATGTATCTTCTTTTATGTATGCTGAGAGTATTTGCATCAAGACAAATTCCTTCTGTGTCCAATCACACTTGGCCAATAAAGAATTCTATTCTATTTATTTATGTAATTACTTGCCAAGCACATCTAAATTAAAGTAACTAAAATATCTTTACAATCCCCAAGGCATGTCACAGCTTTGAGCACCCCTAATATTTGGAAATTGAAAGTTGAAAAATTTGACCCACCCTACGATGGATGCTATTATGCAAATGCTTTGAATTGAATGGCTTGGGATGGAAGGATTCAGAATAAAAAAGAATGCAATTTAAATGTACTTAAATTAGAATTCAATCACTATCAAATACTGGAACAGCTTTCTAATACACGTTCATTTTCATTTGTACCAATTTAACTCTAGCATTTCACACCCAAGAAAAACTTCCTTATACCTTTTAGTTTTACATTTACCGCATATCCAGCAAATGTATATAAAGGACACGCTTTTTTTTTTAATAAAAGTTTTAAGATTTCACAAAACATACAAATACAAACAAAATATGTGGTTTTTTTTAGAACAGCATGGCCCCTGGTTATCACTTCTCCATACAGACATAAACTCAATACATATTTATCTTATACATTGTAATCCATATCTTATAACTATTTTCACAATTTTTTCAATAGCTTTTCCCTTTCTTTACTTCCTATAGCCTTATTTTAAATTATCTCATTCCTTTCTTAATTCAATTACATATCTTTTTCCAATTTTTAAAATCTTTCTAGTCAATGTTTTATACTTTCGTCTGTCCTGTTTACAATTTCATATTATCTTTTCTCATAAAACAAATTTTCCCCTGTAATTACTAGACTGAAGTGTAACACCTTTGTATCTTTTTTCAAATCTTATTTAAAAATTTAAGTTACATCTTTACAGTTATAACATTCATTTTCTAACCTCTATTTTATAACACATACCTATTTTCAATCAAATTCTGCTCGGTACATTCCCTTAAAATACACACTAAATTCTTAAAAGAAAAAAGTATGTATGTATGTATGTATGTATGTATGTATGTAAGTTAAATTTTAACCATTGTCTCTGTGTCTTTTAAATAGGTTTATGCATTTAATTCTTGTACGTTTTTCCTGTACCTCTATATCTTGTTTCTGTCTTTTGTAGCTTCTTTTCCTTTGTCTCTTCCCTCTCTTCTTCTCCCTCCCCTTTTTATTGCCTTTTCTATCTGATTCTCCTTTCTGTGATCCTCCCTTCTGCTTCTTCCTGATATTATTACTTTTCAAATTATTATTTTTTTGGTTGTTGCTTCAGTACTTAAGTTTTTAACTCGTTTCCCCCCCTTTCCCTTTTTTACCCCACTTAAAATTTCTTGGTCATTAAAGATGGCTTCTTCGTTGTCCCGCCCTTCTTGTTCTGCCAGCATTTCTGGTTGTTTTTCATAGTTCTAGATCTCCATTTCTAAAAATTGAAATACGAAACCAAAAGATCCTCTTCCGTCTTGTGCTTCTTCTTTTTGTTCTTTAAGTCTCATTTTTAACTCTTCAAGAAGTGATGCCATTTTTAAAAAAAATTAAACAATTTTAAACAACCCCCAATTGATTTTATTTTATTTCATTAGGATCCTCCATCCAAAGTTCCAGGAATCATCCAATAATCCAAAACTGTTTCTTGCTTCTTTTCTCACTTTCTCTTTCCAGGGGCTTTGTTCTCTTGTAACAAAGTTTCAGCTACAATGTATCTTTTGCAAGCCTTGTTAAAATTCCACTATCAATTTTTTTTCCAGGTGGTCTCCTTCATTTTCCAGATTCCACCCTCTTTTTTCCTTTTTCCCTCCGCTGCTTTCTTTCTTTTTTTTTAAAGAAAGTTTTTAAATTATCCACCTCTAGGGGGTGGCTTCAGCCCTGAGTCCGGGCGGCTCGGTGCGCTCCAGCGGCGAGCATGGATCAAAATCACAGGCGATTGCGACTTTGGTCCATCGCCGAAGCCCAAACCGGAAGTCTCCAAAAAGGACATGCTTTTAACGTATTTCTGGAACTCCTGCATAGTCCCAAATAATGACATTTTCAACCAGATGCAGATGTTCCCTCTTTTTACACTGCAAACTCATAAAACACTACAAAAAGTCACCCTGCACGAGCAATAGACTGCATTCAATATGCAGATGTTAGAGCCAGAGCTGGCATAGTGAACAATATCTAGGGAAAGACCAGGTGACAATCTCTATTCTACCTACCATAGATAAGCACTCAGCGCAGGCTAACATGTAAAGAAGTATCAATAAAAAAAACCCAGATCAATATCCATTCATCTATTTGTTTATTTAGATTCTGATTATGTTCCTCCTGTTCATTGGTATCTAACAATGAAAGCTGATTTGCAACCATGGAGCTCAGTGGAGTTTTCTTCTTCACTTCTCTAAAATCTAAGTTTTGTAGGAGAGGGGGAAGAGGAAGAGAGCATTCAGTTACAATTCAAAAGATGACATTCTGCCTCAAAATACCAAGCAGAACCCATGTATAGAATTTCAGAAAAACAAAAGTTACATTTATTCTTTTTAGTATGGTTTCATCTGTTGGTTCAATCAACCCAAAATTGTGGGATTCAACCTCTACTGTAGAACCAAGTTTTAAAAAGTCGCAGCCTCAGTCTTCCGTGTAACTTACTTTTTTCCATTTTCATACATGCACATGCCAAACATCTTTGTGCCAGTCTCATGACATCTTCGCATCATGAGTCGATAGCGAGGTTCAAACACATGAAGAGGACAGACGAGACCTGGAAATGACATGGTGCACACAAAGATGGGGATATTCTTGTTTAGGCTGTAAAAGAAAGGAACTATAATCAACAAAAGGACTACTAGGAATTTGAAAAATAAACAGGAGGATTTCAGAGTAGAATATACCACTGGGTAACTTTTATGCATGCACACAAGGACATCCAAATGAACTTTCCATGCCTGCCCAAAAAGATAAAATGCATGTGGACTATTGAACCTACCAAGAAGCCAGTCATTTATTAGATTTACATGCCCATTTTACTCCATGAACTCTACAGAACTGCCAAAGAACTCTAAAGAAAAGTCATGTTCTATAAACCCACTATCTAGTTCATTTGTCCCTTCCAGCATTGCTAGGGACATTAATCAACACTGGGACCCTACACTGATAGAAAGCAAGCTGCATTTCTCTGAATGTGGAATAAGGCATAGGGAGACATTGCCATTAGAGCCTTGATGTCAGATTACAGAAGACACAGAGAGAAAAAGGCTTGAAGACATGATGATGTGAGGCACTCATTATGAAGCAAGGATGGCCAAGGAATAAATAAAAAACTCAGGGTCACCATGAACAGATTGTTTGGTCATCAAAAGCTTACCTTGTATAGGGGATACAGGGAGAGGGAGAGAGACAGAGACAGAGAGATAGAGAGAGACAGAGACAGAGAGAGATACAGAGAGAGAGAGAGAGAGAGAGAGAGAGAGACAGAGACAGAGACAGAGACAGAGAGACAGAGACAGAGAGAGGGAGACAGAGAAGAACAGGATAAAACCATCAAATATACTTTCCAATTCCTGTACAATATGTTTTCTGCTTCTGGGATTGTACACATAGAATATGCAGCCAAAAGGTTCATATTTACTTTGAAAGTTCTACCATTTCAGCTTGGTGGACTAGTTTCCTTTCTGCCAGTTGTGAAGGGAAGACTGTCGTCATCAGCTCTTCAAGCAGAATGGTAGTATTGTATTTTCCAGCTTTCAGATACTGAAAGGAATCAAACATTCATAATTATATCACCTTGATATATTTTACACATATTTACAGATATGTCTTATATATTTTAGTCTCACAAAGTACATCTTTTGCAGAATGGAAGTTTGAAAGCATTCAGCAAAAGACATTCTGTTCTCTGAGTTCCTCTTCTGGACCTAGCCAGTTTTTTTCAATATCCACTTCTGAATTGCACAGAACTGAAATCTCCTTTCAACAATGTCTTTTTCCAAAGAATAAAACTTTGGCTCAGGTGACCCTCTGATGCAGCGGTGGGATTCAAAACTTTTTACTACCAGTTCTGTGGGCGTGGCTTGGTGGGCGTGGAAGGGAAAGGATACTGTAAAATCTCCCATCAGAGGTGGCATTTGCCAGTTCTCCGAACTACTCAAAATTTCTACTACCGGTTTTCCAGAACTGGTCAGAACCTGCTGAATACCATCTCTGCTCTGATGGCCTTTGCAAATATTTTACTCTGATAATCCCATACTCAGCACCTGTCAATATTTAATATTCACTATCTAATACCTAATGCAAAAACAGTTTTGTACTAATTATAGCAAATACCTGGCAATAATTAATAAAACTATTTGATTTAGCACTTGGTAAGGAGCCTAATATTTTTATGAGATAGTCTAAACTACTATGGCTAACTCTTATGACTTACTGTATACAAAATCATTCTCAGTGCTGAAGCTAAATTATTTTCTTTATTAAACTTGTTTGCTAGCCATCTCCATGCCAGGTGACTCTGGGTGGCTTACAACATCAAGATAAAACCGTGTGTGTGTGTGTGTGCGTGTGTGTGTGTGTGTGTGTGTGTGTGTGGTATTCAGCTTTGTTCGGGTATTTTCTCATGTCATTATAGTTGTGCCTTTAAAGTTGTAGTGACGTTTCGGCAGAATCTCATTTGCCATCATCAGTCTTGTGTATTGTGTTCATCTGTGAGTCAGGCTTTTTGTTGTAAAATAAAAAGCTTTTTTTGTTGTAAAAAAGCTGGAACACACTTCCTCACTAGTCCAACACATGAAAGCCACAGGTCATAGCATCGACTTCAATGGCATCAAAACCCTAGCCACTATAGCTAACTCCAGTTACAGAATTATCAGAGAAGCCATAGAGATTGAAAAAAGACCTGAAAGCATGAACAGAAGAGATGACTCCACCAGACTATCAATTATCTGGAAGCCTGCACTCACAGCAAAATAAATCTCCACACCACAAGCCAAGCAAACACCTGGGTACAAACAGACCCCCCTTATTGTAGTAAAAATAAAAAAAAATTACCTGCCAGGAGATGGAGAATCCCACTTTTGTTACAAAAGAAAATCCCATTCAATAGTAAAAGTCAAGGCTAAAGAACATGCCAACCTGCAAATCCAAAATCTGAAAATATTACCTAATTTAATATTCTTCAAATGCATTGGAATGACAGAACTCATTTACCATCTCCTTTTTTGACTACATAAAGAAAAGCACCCAGCAGTTGAAAGCAACCAAGAGAAAATTGTCCCTCTTACCTCTTGCAGGCTTTGCTTGCAAAGTGGGCAGGCGGGCCGGTGGTCTAAGCAACGCTCCATACACTCTTTGCAGAAGGTGTGGCCACATGGTGTCGTGACAGGTTCATAAAACATACTGCAGAGAAAAAGAACATCTCTCGTTGGGCACTGACATGTTCATTGTTAGGGAGTTACTTAAGAATGGGGTATCTATTAGGTGGTTGGAAAGAATATCTAACAAGACAGCAGTACATTTCTGAATAATCTTAACAGGTTACAGAAATGAATAGAAAATGGCAGCATAACATTTAACTGAGGCAAAGGTTGAGTTTTTCACTTAGATCTCACATGCATAGGTTGAGTTATTGCCTAGTTTGGTAATGATACTTGCAAAAATGGTGACTCCAAGCTAAATATGAATTAGTTCTTTGACAGAAGAGTAAAAAGGGTAAATGCAGGAAGCTTAGGATCAAAGTGACAGAAGATCCCTGCTCTGTTCAGATCCCATTTTAAAGACAGTCTGCAATTCCTGATTTAAGATAAAATGGAAACAATTCAGAGAAGAGCAATAAGATCATTAAGCAACTAGTAACTAAGTCCTAGGAAAAGAAACTGAGGAACCTGAACATGTTTAGTTTGAAAGAAAATTATGATCAGAGGGAAATATTATTGTGTGTCTCATCATCCTTCAGAAGAATGGTTTGTATTCCACTATCCCAGAGAAAAGAAGATGGAATAATTGATAAATGGCAGGAAGAAAGATTCTGGTTTAATTCAATGTTAAGAGCAAAACTAAGAGGAAGATAATGACCGCATTTTGCAGGACAGTCATAGATGCTTTTTATTTGGATTTTTGAATATTCATGAGATTGATTTAATAGTATAAATCAGGTTTTTCTTAGCCTTTTCAGGCCATGGAACCTGTTAGTTAAAATTATTGTGTTGTTATTATTTCTGGAACCCCATATCCAGAAGCAAAGTTCTAGTAATAAAGTGGCTGCATTCAAGTGAACTTTGTTCTTAATCTCTCATGGAATCCCATAAAGGATTTTGCAGAAGAGAGTTTAAAACCCCCAGTCCATATAGGCCATTCCAACTGCATCATAATTCAGTAATATCAAGAGAAATGTGCTGCTTTCTTGGGAAATATATGATGGAAAACATAATAATCAGTTCACAGGATCAGAAGAAAAAATTTCCAACGGTTTTGTAAACAGCCACCAGCAAGTTCCTGTGTTAACTTGAGATAAATGCCCTCTTCCAGGTTCACAAGAGAGACGTTGCAAAAAAATAGAAAAAGTGTCCACCACAATGTAAGGTAAGATAAATCGGTTCTAAAGTGATAAGTGTTGAGTGCTCAAATTCTAGTAAGTCTAAATCTTTTCTTTCAATACAGCCAGTTAAAGACTTTGTGAATCTTTCTTGAAGATTGACTTTTAACTGAATCAGCTGCCAAGGCGCTAACACTAAGAGTCCTACGACACCTGATGATTATAAGTAGTCCTCGGGTTATAGCCACTTGTTCAACAACCATTCAAAGTTATGATTGTGTTATGAAACAATCTGCAGTTATGAAAAGTTACCAAGTTGTAACTTTTACAAGCAGTCCACAAAATTGTGGCAGTTGCAGGCCTGGCTCACAATTATGACATTGCAGCGAGACATGGTCATGATTGCAATTTCCAATGCTCTCATTAAAATACTACAATACTTATATGAAGAAAAATATTGTTCTACAATTTCTCTATTTTTTTTTCCAACACCAGTCCCGAAATTGCTGCACTCCAATTCCATCACACTGGACCATTGTACGATACAGCCAGTATTTCTATTTTCCACATAAAATATATATTCTGCAAAAGAGATTAGAATCTGTTAAGGTTAACTGCCAAAGAGCCCTCCTTTCTTACTTTCTTTGAAATATCCATCTTCAGATGAAACAAATTTCAGTTCATTACAAAGTAGTACCACTCTGCAAAAGGTATTACACTGGCACATTGAATTGGATAACAATTTCAGGGGTCAAAGATGTCCTCTATTAAGTTCTGCCTGGACTTATTTTCTAGGCATTCCGTCCCTTTATTGTATTGAATACTGTCATGACATTCTAACCCAGTTTTAATTTTTGTTCATAGCCTTTCCACAGTAAATGTTCAGGCACTGAGGTCTGCACATCCATTTAATATCTTCCATTCCCAGCTCTGCGTTTCAGACCTGGCAGCATTTCTTTGCCCATGTCTCAAGGTTTTTCTCACTTACAACTGAGAAGAGGATTTAAATGGCAAGAACTACACTGACCCCAGAGGTGGAGAGTTTTGCAAGCAAGTTACTTTGCCTTCTAGCAATAATTCATTATATGAGATCTATAAACTTCATGGTTGGGCTAGTCTTATATAAAGCATGCCTCAATGTTTAACTCTTTAGATTGTTAAAATTGTTATTTTAAATTCTAATGACGAACAAAAACTTTGGTGTGTAATCATCACTATTTTTCTCCTCTTTTTTAACAGTCAAAAAAGATTTTCTGATATCATGCCATGCAATAGTGTACCACTTCATGTTTCATACGAGAACTGGCTCATTTCTGATTGGTGAAAACCTGACCATGCTTTTTTGCACATCATTAGGAAGCAGTCCTACAATATACACTGGATTTTAGTGCATGTAAGAATATTCAGGTTACAGCAATAGCAATAAGCACTTAGACTTATATACTGCTTTGACAGGGCTTTATAGCCCTCTCTAAGCAGTTTACAGAGTCAGCATATTGCCCCCAACAACTTGGGTCCTCATTTTACCCACCTCAAAAGGATGGAAGGCTGAGTCAACCTAGACCTTGGTGGGATTTGAACTGCTAAATTGCAGGCAGCCAGTAGGCAGCAGAAGTGGCCTGCAGTACAGCACTTTAAACCACTGCTCCACTGCTCATGATTGTAGGTTTTTTTCTATTTACAAAAAACTATATAATTTTGAATAGTACTTTAAATAGAATAGATGTATTGAAAATATCAAGAGGAAGTTCAAATATGTTTCAAAACCTTTTCTTTATTCTTCAACAAATAAGGAGAGGGTTTATCCCCATGGCTTTTTCAGAAATCCATTGGCTAGAACATGGGTGTCAAATCTGGGGCATCACATTGCTGTCACATGACATATCATGATGTTTTTTCCCTTCCCGGAGCTGGGGTAGGCATGGCCATTGCATGATGCATCTGGCCCAAGGGCTACCAGTTTGACATCCCTGGGCTAAGAAGACACCTCATGCTCAATTTGCATAGCACTTCAAAATCCTTTCCCTAGCAGCTCTTAACAGAATAACAGAGTTGGAAGGCACCTTGGAAGTCTTCTAGTTAACTCCCTGCTTAGGCAGGAAACCCTATACCACTTCAGACAAGTGGTTGCCCAATCTCTTCTTAAAAACTTCCAATGTTGAAGCATTCACAACTTCTGGAGGCAAGTTGTTCCACTGATTAATTGTTCTAGCTGTCAGGAAATTTCTCCTTAGTTCTAGGTTTCTTCTCTCCTTGATTATTCCTGTGCTGTTAATTAACTGACCGTATACAAAGGGAACATTCCAAGTCTGATGTAGTCAGGAAGCCCATGAAGTCTGGATAATAGTCTTTCACAGATTTTGTTTCTGCTGATCTAGTTCCTGAAGTCTCTGGTGAGGCCTCCTCTTCATCCAAATCTGGTTCACAAAAGGAAAGAGCAAAAGTCAGATTATGAATGTTACACACTGACCAACTCCTCACTGAACCTCACTTTGAACATTTTTATCACATTTATTTTATTGGCGGGTCACATACTTGCAAGAAGCTGTTTTGTGGAGTTCCCCTCCCCCTTAAGACCAAGAGTCTATTATGGTGTCATGCCAAGTGGCAATTGATTTCACACGAACACTGGCTATTTATATCTATTCAGCCCAAACATGTTACTTTAAGTCTATAACCCTTTTCAGTGATGAAAGAAGAGTCCTTCAGCCACTGCCTTCATTTTTTATATGCACTCCTGTCTCCCAGTAAAATCCATAAAATTTTCCAATTAGACTATAAATCAAAACTGGAAAAAACTGTCCAGCAATAAAAGAAATTGAGCCACCATATCCTAGGCAAGGGGTGGCTAACCTTTTTGGGCTCCTGTGCCAAAAATTGTGCGTGCGCTAGCACACTCGCATTCGCGTGCCAGCACCCAGAAGGCAATGCACGCCCCCCTATGTCCCCTACACATGTGCGCACAATCCCACCACCCCCACCACCCCCTTACCTGCACTGTACCTCACAGCTGATTTTTGGCCGCTTTGAGGCCTTTTTTGGCCTCCCAAAGGCTTGAGGAAGGCTTCTGCAGGCTTCTACAAGCTTTGTACACCGAAATTAAGCCCTGTTTCATCACTTCCTGTTTTTCTGAAAAAAACAGAAGTAATGAAACGGGACTAGATTTCAGCCTACAAAGCTTGCAGAAGCCTGCAGAAGCCTTCCTCAAGCCTTTGGGAAGCCGAAAAAGGCCTCAAACCAGCCAAAAATAACTGTGAGGTGCACACATGTGCAGTGAGGTAAGTTTGCCTGCAGCTTGTGTGCCGACACAAATGGCTCTGCGTGCCACCTGTGGCACATGTGCCACAGGTTCACCATCATGGTCCTAGGCCATTAAATTTTATTCAGAGCAGGTTCAGATGGATATTATTATACTTATCTCCAGCTGGGGCCCCAAATCTCTAGAAAGATCTAGTATATACAGAAGCAGGACTCTTCTATAAATCATGCTGGACTGAGTGTAATGTAGCTAATTTGAACATTAAACTGGGCTGCCCTTCTCTACCCTATTATTTGATCAGCTGTCAGGATTCCAGCGATCACCCTAATTGAATCATGAGTCGCGAGCCAAACTTCAAAAAACTTCAAAGGATTTATTAGGAGCAATATGCTGGCAGGACTTTATTGCCATCAGCATTAAAACAGCGCAATCTAATCAGCCCCTATTGATATACAACAGGCATGATTCCTTGGGGTTTCTTGTGATGGAATTTGGTCTTGAGAACAGTCACATGATTCTAGGGTTTTGGGAGCATACTCAAAGTACCTGCTTAAGGTGATCCTGCTGGGCGTGTGTGTGTGTGTGTATGTGTGTGTGTGTGTGTGTGTAGAAATAGTGATCAAATGACAGACCAAGATTTTAAAGCACAGGCCAAAATAATTTATCATAATTAGGGCATCAATTATTTCTCCCAGACAGAGACAAGAGGCTTATTAAAAAACATGGACTCAAACATTTAGTGATATACTCGCCTTTCTTCCTCATGGGAAGTGCTGCCTGGCTATGATCAGGCATAGTTTCTTCCAGCCAATTTTCTTTTTGCATCTTCATATTCTATTTAATAAAGAAAAATAAGATGTTAAACATGAAACCAAGGGTCACAAGTACAGATAGGAAAACAAAAAGATAACACTACATATTGTTATTGTTGCATTGTTTTTCCTACACTTTAATTATTTCTTGATTTATCTTTGTTTTGCTTTTTGTGCTATAATACATTATGGTACTTAATGTTTATTTTTAATTCTTGTATTTTTATTATTATAGATTAAAAGCAGATACTGTTTAATAGGAAAGGAATTAATGCAACTCTGTGAAAGGTAAGTTCCCAATCCCTACAAATGTTAGCTGGTTCTTTTGTTTACAGATGAATGTACAAGAACTTCTTTAAGTGAGAAAAACTAGAGGTGAGTGGACAGTCTTGATGTGATTGAACATATGAAAGGGTTCACATGGAAATCCCTTTACCAATGTTTCACTACATACAAATACATATTTTTGTTACGCCATCTCTAAATTTGGAACTGGTAAGACATCATCCCATATGAATTACCGGTAGGGTTTCGCCTTCAAAACTCCCAAGAAAAGTCAACTGTTCCCTTGAATTGCAACCTTCCAAATTCTGACTGCCATTGTTCTTTAACTCCATAACAGTACCAGGAGTAGGGGAGGCATCATTTGTGAGAATCTGCGACAGAAAGATTTTACATTAGTTTATTTTGAAGGAGAACACAGTCCCGAAGGTAGTTTTTCAAGAAGCAACTAGACTCTTATTTTTCTTTAAAAATGTTTTGCTTCTCATCCAAGAAGCTTCTTCAGCTCTTAGAAGTTTCTTGGATGAGAAGCAAAATGTCTTCAGAGAAAAACAAGGAAG